AAAAAGTCTGGACTTCCTCTCCTACGGTGGACCCGCTGCTCAGACCCATCGCGCTCACGGTTCGTTGAGCACACCACCTGTTGAACAAACCTCCTTCAGTCATGCTTGCTCCTCGTCAAAGCTCAAATGGCCACACAGGCATAAATCTATGATGGGAAGCCTTTAGCGGCACCTATATTCTCACGTCGGTCTCTTTTGAGTAAGCAGTCAGGCAGATTTGTCATGGTTCATAAGCCACAAAGGGTGGGGTGGAGGGGGCCTTCCTCTGTATGACCAAGCGCTAAAACCATCAACCAGGTGTTTCCTCCTGACTCAGACGTCCCAGAAACTGAGGTGAGCAGCAGTTCAGCAGTTACCAGACAACATTAAAAAAAAAAAAAAAAAAGAGTGAGACGCTGCCCTCTTCCTGTACTCCTGTACTGCTTCCCTCACCCCTCACTTTCTCTAGTGACATCAACTTACAAACAGCCTGGCCTCCCATCCATGACTGGGGTGGCGTCCTGGATTCAGGAAGAGTTTTGAACGAAAATACAATCTTTTTTTTTTTTCCTAAGTAAGCAAAGCGATTTGATTTGAAAATAAAATGTTATCCAAGCCACATCAAGAGCTTCATGAACTTGATGATTGTCCTCTGTTAAAGCAAACAAAACAAAAAACAACAACAAAAGTCTCTGGGCTGATTTCCGGGCTCAGTTCACTGAATGAGGAAGATTCAGAAAAGTGTGATCTTGTGCACTTGGGTGGACACAGACCTGGGAAATAAATGTCCCTGCTCCAGCCCACACTGAACTATTTCTCATACTTCCTCTCTTCTTAAACATTTTGTTTTATTTTTTTTTTTAATTGTGTGAATGTGTATGTGCGCTTCATGCTTGTAGGTATGTATCCCTGTGTATGTAGGTACCTGAGGGGGCCAGAAGAGGGCGTTAGATCTTCTGGAGCTGCAATTAGAGACAGTTGTGAGCTGTTGAATACAGGTGCTCAGAACCAAATCTAGATCCCCCATAAGCAGTATGCACTCTCCACTGCTGGGCAATCTCTCCAGCCATATTTCTTAAGAGTTATTGCATCTAAGCCAGACTGTCTTTGCCCTGCTTCTGTAGGCTGGAGCTCACAGCCTGGCTTTTCCCACACTCACTGAGCTCAGGCTGTGTGTGGGGCAGAGCCATTGTTCTTAAATTATCCTCTGTTTTCTGTTTTTTTTTTTCTGAGGGGTGCTGGGATAATCCCAGTAGCTAGGAAACAGTGTAACATTCCTCAAATGGCCAGAAGCAGTGGTGGTTTTCACAAAAAAGTGATTTCTCTGGGCTTCTAGGCTGTTCTCATTATTGGGCTGTTTTTCAGCATTCCTGCCAGCATTAGGCTGTGAAAATGACTTCCTTCAGGTGCAGACACATCTTCTCCTGTTGCTTTGCTTTTTCTGGGTTGAAGTCAGTGCTCTCTCTCTCTCTCTCTCACTCTCTCTGTGTGTGTGTGTGTGTGTGTGTCCATGTGAGTGTGGAGGTCAGAGGTCAGCTCAGGTATAGTCTCTTAGATTTTGTCCACTTTGTTTTTCTAGAGCTCTCTGAGTAGGCTAGTGAGGCTGGCCAGCAAGCCCCAGGCTCCTCCTTGTTCCTTCTCCCCAGCACTAGCATGGGATACTGTTCCTGGCGTTTTGCATGGTTGCTGGGGAATCATGCTTGAACAACAAATACTATACTGAGTGAGCCATCTCGCCTTTCCTGGGTAAATGCTCCTGAAATCACCCTAGGTCCCATCTTCTTCCATTTCCACACTGTCTAGATTTATTTTAGATTCTGCTTGCCCACATAAGTGTGTGAATTTGGGAACCCTTGCTTCCGAACCTAGCCAAAGGTCAAATGGCCTCAGTACAAAAAGAAAAGAGACAGGTTTTTTTTTTTTCAACTGTGATGAGGATGCATTGCATGAGGTGACCCAACAGAAAGATGGAAGAATGATCCATACATGTGACAAGAAGGCCCTTTGCCTTCAGTGAATAAAGTGGATCATGAAAATAAATGTTTAGTAAGATCCTGCTTTGTGCCACATCCAGTACCAAATTCCCTTATGACCGGCTTTTCATGAAAGGAAATGATAATTGAAGTGATCACAGGATCATACATGTAATTGAATTTGTAATGCATGAAGTGAATGTTTTGCACCTTAAAGTATTTTGTTAGCTGTCAATAGATGGAATGCATGGACATCTATAGAATCACAGGTTTTCCCTCCCTCCTTCCCAAACTGGGATCATTTTTGTTGTTGTTGTTTATTTGTTTGTATGTTTTTTTGGGGGGTCTCACATTCAGGGTCTCACATTCAGCCCAAGCTGGCTTTGAGCTCACAACAATCCTCCTGCCTCAGCCTCCCTAGTGTTAAGCTGTAAGGTAGGAATTACTATGCCTCTCTTGCCATCTGAGAGTGAGTGAATCTTAGGTTTGATTTAAGGTTTTGAAAACCTTGAGCTGGCTCAGTAAGGTTCTTGTCTTGAAGACATGAGGACATGAGTTCAGATGCCCAGAATCCATGTGAAGAGCTGGACGCAATGGCATATCCCTGAGATCCAGCGATTGGGAGATAGGGCCAGAGGGTCTAGGACCTTGAGCCAGCCAGCTCCTGACCAACACAGCAGTTCCTGGACAGTGAAAGACTCCATCTCAAGGAAAAGATAGAAGGTACCTGAGGATGGACACCTGAACTTGTGCGCCACCTGACCCCAACACAAAACTATAAATAAGTACAATATTTCAAAAACTTTCTTAAGCGGACACTGAATGTATTGTTGGTCCTCACAATCTATTACATTTATTTACCTGTTATTGGTGTGTGTGTGTGTGTGTGTGTGTGTGTGTGTGTGTGTGTGTGTGTG